AACCTTTATGATGATACATGTGTACCTACCCCATTCAGATCGTCAAGTCGATTGAATTGGAAGATCACGACCTTTCAAAAACTGCTGAGGGTTTGGCATAAACACTTTTCTTGTCATATAATTCAAATCCTGGGTCACAGGGTTTCCACCGGCTCCATCATTTTTTTGCTCGCATGCTGTCAAGATCTTTCAAGACGGGGAGATGGATGACACTAGGCTTTGGAGGTCCAGAACTGTTTCTCTCTCTCTCTCTGTTGGAAATGACCAGAAATGATGTGTCCTCTCTACATGATTGTTGATCCCCGTCGGTGCAAAAACGTGGGGTACAGTCCTAGAAAAAAATCGGTCTAAAATGATGACCCCTAACCTTTGAGAGAGGTTTTAGAGCTTTAAATTCCTGGCTCCTAACCTCTGAAGCCGAAATCTCACTTCCAACCACCTTTTTGAATTTTCTTTGCTAATTTCGTGGTGCCCAACGTCCAACATCCAATAAATTTACCCCTCTCATATCCAAGTAAAAAAATATTTCCTGGATGCTTGCGTTGGTAACATGCCATATCTTCCCCCCCTCAATCTGATACGGAAAAAAATGAATCCTGTGGTACAACCTTATGTTACTAATCCTGCTTTCCTGGCTCCAACATTTGTTTTCCTGAACCCCAACCTTGCGACATCCATTTCTTGATGATTTTTACCTGACTTGGCATTTTTATTCGCCGAAGTGGAGTCACAGGAAAAAATTACCGGTACAACGGGGGATGAAACTTGCTAATCCCATCACCCTAATTATTAATTCTAACCCCCTGTAAACCCTAGTTTAGGGCCTCAGATTTCTTCACTTTAAGGGGCTCATTGAGGGCCTCATTGAGGGTATTTAAGTAAGCCTGTTGATCTTTTTCAGTGACAAATCTTTTAGAGCGTGTAATTTCTTCCAATTATCCCTATGCTGGGCTTGAATATATGAGAGGGTGTACCTTTTCCTCGCCCAAGAACTTCATATATCCAAAAATTCGTACCCTCCGGCAATCGAAGGTGGAAACAAAAAACCTCCATTCATAGAGTATTTATATATGATTTTCCCATTGACATACAAATTTGTCTTTTACGGGTGATTTTCCAGCCAGCCACGTTTGACACCGGATGGCATATCCATTTATATTCCATGAATATCCCATATTATATCCTTAAAATCATCATTAATCCTTTTAATTTCCCAACTATTCACCATTGACCAGTACTCACCCATATCAACCATTAGTTAGTACAACTAACCATTATAGTAACCATTGTAGTATTAGTAACCATTACCAACCAACTTTTACTCAGTAAATCACCATGAATTCACCGAAAACGGCCGAGGTGCCATCATCAAATGATCTGCGATTTGGACTCCCTGCAATCCACGGGTTCCGGGAGAAATCATGGCAGAAAGCATACATGATTTACCATTTGGTTATTTAACATCGCCACGGAAAATCTCAATTTTTAATAGGTAAACCATCTATAAATGGGCCATCTTCCATGGCTATGTTAAAAAACCAGAGGGTACTTGATTTACATTTTTACTGGTGCTTAGTAGGTTGGGATGAGCCACTGATGGGGACTTACGAAGCAGGGTTGAAAAACCCGCGGGGTGTAATGGTTTTGATCATGGGAATAAATGGGATATCGGGATATCCCTATAAATCTTACTGGTGCTTAGTAGGGAATGGATGGGAACGGGGGAATGGGATGATTACTAGTGGTTATTAGAGATCATTCCCTCATTCCCTACTAAGCACCAGTAAGCATTAGATCTTGAAAAACAATATTTGATGGGAACTAATGGGATTTATACTAATTGTAAATATGGTAAACATGGTAAACCATGAATAGAAATGGTAAATCAAGCAAACCTAGGGTAAATATGTGACATATTGTACATTTGTTAGATTTACAGTAAAAATTACATGGATTTACCCCTATGTATTTATATCATATTTCATAGGATTTCTCACAATTGTCATGACCATTCATTTTATTTTTCTGGAAAAATCATGGTACATATGTATGGATGTACGTACATATGTATATACATATTACATATGTGTATATACATATATACACATACGTATACATATGCATGGATACTTATACGGTAGTAACTTGTAGAACGTTGTAATATTACAAGAGCCCCAAAATTGGGACTTTGACCACCCTAAACATCCTCTGCATCCTCGCAGATGGAATCGGCCTGCTCTTCGGCCCACCCCTTCGGCGTCACCGAAAGAATCTGGCAGCAGGAAACCATGGGTTGCTAATGACTGTCTGGATCGCCTATGAATGGGAACACATCGAAACGAAATGGCGCAAATTTCATTGCCACGTTCGATAGTTTGGAATGCTTGGCTGGATCCCTTTTCCAATTCTCCTGAAACAAGACTATGATTTCGGCGGGCTAGCGGCTAGATGGACAATAATGGAAATCTAACAGTCTCACACCTATAACCCACCATACCTTGCCCATCATCCTCATCAATGAGGCAACCCTTCGAAAACTTGACCATCCATACTGTACATTGTTTTTGAGGAACCCATTTGGATTTGTCTGATAGGGGATACCCCAAAATCATCCAAAATCCACTGGTATCACATTATCCATGAAACATGGCCGTGTACATGGAGATATGTATATGTATGTACTCTTTTCTTACAAAGTCACACCATTATTCCATCCCACGACTTATTGCGTCATTATATCACCATTTGTACATCCCCATTGGTGAAACATCCCAATTATCATGCCCATTTGAAGCAAAACATTTTTTGTTTTCAAACCACAAATGGATCTAAAAATTTGCTAGTTGGAGCATAAAATCTATAATCCACGGGTTAACACCATAAGTAAACTCAACAATAATGTCCTTTTGGTAAAACTAGAGGGGCCGGTTTGGTATACCATCTATCATCATTTACCTGTTGTTAAAGGGGCAGACAAACCCCTCTATTAATCAACCAACCAATGGGAAAAGGACATCTATTAATCAACCCATAAAATTCCCGTTTTTGGCTGCTGAATCCTCACAATTATTACAGGATGGGGCCCCCGTGAACGGAAACGCGTTCGGTGGCCGAACATAAGTGGCTAAAATCTCTGGTTTATGGTAGATATAACGAACTAGTATTCATGGGGTTTATGAACCGACTTATAACCGGAAGGGACGCCATCCTGTATTTTAATATCATCTTTTATCTGATTAGAGCACCATGATGGCCGGATTTCCCCCATTTTTGCTGTGCCCTCGCGCCATCGCGCACCTGCACGCTCTCCTGCGGAGGTTCGCGATTGGGTCGAATGCCCATCTTCGTTACCGCTTGCCTCAAGGCCGCAATGGCTGGGACAAAATGGGTAGATCGAACTATCAGTATAGCTATGGGATTTCTACCTCCATCAGTTTGGATAGACACATATACAATCATATATATATACCACAATCATTCATGATACAGTATTCATAGTTGCACGGCCATCCCATAACTAACATGATGGCCGGTAATTTTCGGCGTCTGGTCATCACTTCCACGGCAAACTGATCGCACCAAGCCCAGGGAAAAGGACATCTATGGCATCATGGGGTCCCATAGCTATACCCCCAGCCAAAAACCCCTGATGGCCATGCGTCCGGCAGACTCAGCTTCTCATCCACTGTTCAAGCCCCCTTCCTAGAATTGAAATCTTTAGTTCCTATTCTTTTTTTCAAAATATGTTCCAAAGATATGAGATATATAATCCGCAAAGAAAAATGAGTTGCTCATAGATAACCCCAAAACCCAGAAGAAATCACCGCAATAAGTTTAACGAAAGCAACCATGAGCGGCAGGTCGCTTGGTGTATCATAAAACCAGCAGATGTACTTATATATATATATATATGTATGCATATGTATATACATCTGTAAAAACAACATATATACCATGAAAATTATGGATTCATATCCCTCCATTCCCCATTCATTCTCCCAGTTGCCATTCAGAACTGTCCAGGACACACTCTACCCTTTGGGCCCTGACGCTGCCAGAATGCTGTAGATGTTTCCAAGCTCCTGGGGATGATGGGAAGCCATGGGTCCCATGGCTTTTCCATGACAGAATTTGGTGATATCTGCTGGTAATTTAAGATTTACCCACTAAAAATGGTGATTTTCCCACTAAAAATGGTGATTTACCCACTAAAAATGGTGATTTTCCATAGATGAGAACTTTACTGAAACCGTGGGGGAGGTGTGCTCTCATTATGACACTTTGTTCAGCAGGGAGCCACGTCTCGTCATCCGTCCGATGTTCCATTTCTCCCGATGTACCCAAAGTCTCGCTTCCATCAGACTAAAGGGAGTGCAGCCTATGTCTACGCCTCTGCAGTGTCGGTGCATGGGAAAATTGCCACGAAAATTGCCACGATGGAGACAGGTCAGCACATTGGACTGATCCGAGATCGTTTCCACACTGTATCCCCGCCAGTGATAATGTTCCAGGCTTGCCAGCCCTGGGTGCGCCGTCATCTGTTAGTGATCACGTTTGGACACTTCAAATTGGGGACTGTGATTTGAGCCACTAGGGAGCAAACCCGACCTGTCCATGGTTGTGAATGCAAAGTTTTGCGACAGTTTACCAGAGGGTTTTTCATGGGGTGAAAGTAATAACTGGTTGGTGGTATACCTACCACTCTGAAAAATATGAAAGTCAGTTGGGATGATTCTTCCCAATATATGGCCAAAAATGTTCCAAACCACCAACCAGAATCTAAACGGGATATTTCAATCTACTTAACTATCCCACATGACCAATATTCCAATGGGATATTTCAATGCTCCGATGGGCGATATAGCGTCATGAAACTTTGATCTCATGGGATATTATGATTTAACATTGAAAAATATGGAATGCAAATGGAATTAACAAGGGATGTTAATGAAATCTAGTTTAATAGTAATGGGATATCGTACTGGAATATACAAGTACCA